AAAAATAAATTCCCCCCCCCCCCCCGCAAAAAAAAAAAGCCCAGGGAGATAGCTCTTTATTTGTATTATCTTACATTGTTCTTTGCTCAGCCTCCAGCTCAGATATATCTAAAAGTGGTAAATCTTCAAACTCTGCCACACAGATTATTCTATACATTAATGGTACAGAAAGCATACAGTCCTAGTGACCCTGACACACTATATACAAACACTGGGTCTTGAGCAATCAGCTGCTATATGGGATGGCTGTGCTTCTGTCTGATCTAGTCTCAGGTGCTTCTATTGGATCGAGTGGAACATGTGCAAGTTAAGATCATAAAGCCTACTTGATACGTGGCCGGGGGTAGGTCCTGAGGAATAAGTAGTAGCTGGAAATTATGCTGGGACTGTTTCCTATAATAATCTACTCAGGGTTTTTTTTCCCCCCTTTTTACTACTATTGTATTTGTTTTAAAGAATGCAAGGGATGGAATCTGCCTTCTGCTTTCACTGGCTGAGAAGAGCAAAAGCTCAGACTTTGGCAAGTGGAGGATGGAAAAGGAGAGAAGGCATGTGGCTCTGGTATTTGTTTCTACTGTCTACAGAGCCTAAGGGAGACACCACAGAGATCTTATGCAAACTGGGCAGGAAGATCTTGACAGGTAAAAAGTTCATTCCTCTTCTAATCAGGAAAATTTCCAACAGGAAATTCACACAGAAATTAATGCTTTTCCAGTTAGTTTTAACTCCCCTTCTATACTATTAGCCCCATCCCAAGAAGTGCATGGGCCTTTTTTGTGCACTCAGGCACTCTGGGATCCAAATTACCATATTTACTCATTATACACAATATGCAAGGCCTGGCTATATATATATATATATATATATACACACTTTTCTGGCAAAGTTGTAGTACCTTCTGAAACATAGAAGACAAAGGATAACTAGAGGCCTCTCAAAGCTAATTAAAGGAATACTGCCCAACTTCTATACATTAATGGAAAGCACCATGATTCCCAGAGACCAGGAGTTGTCTTGGAAACTCCACATGCTTATACTCAGGAAATTGGCTCCCTGAGCTACTATCCTTGCAGCTCATGAGGCTTATAGTCTGTTTTACTGCAGTGCTGTAGGTTCTGCTGCCAACCAGAAATGAATTCAGAAATCACTTCAGAGATGAGAGAGAGAGGTGGATTCTATGAAGAGAACTACACAGCATTTCTAGCTGATGTTTCCTTCTCCCATGGGTTTTTGAACAAGAGGGGATTTTTAGGAGTTAGTAGTCAAATAAGTTAAATTAGCATGGTAAAATGGCCCCATCCAATCCACAATATTTTTCTAACTCTCCCTGGCTACCAGACCATTTGACTGCAACTCACAAAGTCAGGAGGTCTTGCAAGGACCTAGCACAGTGTAAAATTTATTTAGTAAAAGTTAAAGGGAATTTCTAGGAAAGGTGCCAAGTTTTAGATAGTAACATAGTTAACATCCAAGTGTCTGTGCAGAGAGGTATGATGCTGTGTAAGAAATCTGTGTGGGTTTTTTTCTTCTTTTTTTGCTGTTGCCTGCAATTTAACTTTCAACTCTGTGTGCTTGTGTATGACCATTCTCCTGCAAATTGTTTAACCATTTAGCTTTTTGTTTTATTCACAAGACAACACATAGTGGAATCTAAATTTGCAATAAGCTCCTCCTCTTGGAAATTTGGCATAGCTGATAGTAATAAATCATTCAGGTTAGATAGACATCTGTCAGGGATGGTGTAGGTGGAGCTTGGTCCTGCCTTGAGGGCGGAGGGCTGGACTCGATGACCTCTCGAGGTCCCTTCCAGTCCTATGATTCTATGATTCTATTATTCAACCATTGACCTCATAAGTCTTGTGGAGCATCATGTGTCTTCAAATTGCAATGTGTGTACATAACACTGAAATCATCATGAAGCTAGAACACAAACAAATCACCAAGGAGATTTTTTACATGAAAATTTACAAAAGCAAAGCAAAGGTAGTGCTAAGTCTTCAAGGAAAGGAATGTCATTTGATAACTTCTAGTGAACAGTATTATCAGAGCAGATGAGAAAGTCACAGAATCATTTTGTTACAGTTTTTCATGGGTTACATTCATACTTCAAGAAAACCATACAACTGAAACAAATGGAACCCATGGCTATGGCCATAAAACTCTCATGGTGTTGCCCACATGAACCCAAAGTTTGAAAGATATTTGTAGTTGAACCTTTTGAAGTTCAAATCCTATTCAGTGCAAAGCAAAGAGTTGTTCCTCTAAATAAGATAATGGCACAGAACACAGCTTAATCGCTTTTTGGAGGTGTTCCTAACAGTTATTATGTCTTCAAATTGAAGAAAGGATTGGGCTGATTTCTCTGCCTTTCAAGAGTTGGCCATCTTCTCTGGATATTGATAAATCTAGGGTATCAAACTCATTTGGCAGAGAGAACCAAATTTCATTTTTTATTATTATTTTTATTTTTGATTATACCTATAATCAAAAATAGCATAAATTTAAATCTATACACTAACTTTAGACTACAGAAAAATATCAATGAGATACTTCCACAAAAATCAAAGACAGAATATGGTCTTTATAAACAACTTACATTATTTTCTTGTTGAGTAACTTATTGTCACATTAAATTCACTGGGAAAATCTGCTTCCTTGAAAAACCACTACAATTTTGTTCACTATTTCATTCTTTCCCATCTTATTTTTCTATTTCTCTCCATTTCCCCCACCCACCTTCTCTCCCATTCCATTCACTAAAATGATCACCAATAAAGCAGTCATGCTGATAATATAGTGTCATCATTAGACTTTAAGATTAACATCTCAGTAAGATCAATATAGACCGAGGAGTATACAAATCTAAGTAACTATTTCAGGCGATCTAAAGACCCAGAAAGACATTTCAGCAATAGTTACATTTGGAAAGTTACTTTTTATTTTCAATTACAAGTTTGATTCTGCTTACTCTGAATATATCAAATGGACTGTATCTGGCTTGTGAGCTCTATGTCTGAAAGCATTTTTGCCCAGTATTTCTATAACTGCCACTTGTAGGATTTGAACCTTGAACCTGGGACCTCATGAGTTGACTATAGGAGCCTCTACCCATGGTGTAGAGGTCTCTTGATCTTAACTTTCGCTGTGGTCTAGGTACCACTTGCATTGCTCAGTAACCACACTAGGTATGTGGGTTACATTTCTACATCACAGAATTCATAAAAATACTCCAAAGTTCATTTTTGAAAAATTTAATGGATTAGATTGCACATTTTTTTTTTCAAAATATTTGCTTTGTGGAAGGAAAAATACCACCTTGACCACCTTACCAGGTTCCAAATCCTCTCGAGCTGGGCAGGATAAATACTCTTCTGTACTACTAATATACTTCCCAGGAAAAAAGGTAGTGTGTATCACATAAATGTGTTTTCCAAATGATTTTACCTCTCTATTTATTTTACAGAGATGAAGGAAAAATGATATCATTTAAAAGGAAAAACAAAATCATAGATTTCCCAGTCCTTCATTGCTATTTACAGAGTACCTTCTCCGAGACAGGATTTATTGAAGTGCACACTTTTCGTTAAAGCCCTTTTAAAAAATACTAGCAGCACATCACTGCTGATGAGTGATTAGTTTCAGGCAAAGGAAGTACTCTGTCAAAATATATTTGTAATACCTTTTCTACCCAATCATCAGAAAAGAAATATTTTCCCTAAGATTATTTCATATCAGTGCAGAGATTGTAAGGAGAGAATAAACACACAACTTAGTATTGATTATATCATAAGAAAAAAAAACAGAAATTAAGAAAGAGAGCCTGGCCAGAAAAAAAAAAGTCTTTTTGGAAGGGAACACCAGTTGTAGTAGAACTGAAATTGAGTCATTATTAAGCACCTATAATTCACATAGTAAACATGTTCAATTGGCTCAACATTGCCTTTCTTTAGAAGGCAAATCCTACCTCAGGGGGTAAACAATTGATGGTTTTGGAGGGTGGGGGGGAGGAAGGGTTGTTGTTTGTTTTTGTTTTGGGGTGGGGTTGGGGGGTTTTTTGGTTAAACAATTCAACTTTTATTTTTGGTTCAGAGGCAACAATCAGGAATGTGCCTTCAGCAAACATTTAATACAATTTAGAAAGCCATAAACCATGTTTGTAGGCACCCTTGCACAGACAATACCTAGCATGATATTATGGGTGAGCTTTCACATTCATGACTTTCTTTTCTAAAAAGTCACACTAAAACCTAATTTTTCCCATATTCGGGAGAAAAGCCTGCAATGAGAGAGACACATTAAAGCAAATGCCAAGCCTGTCCTTTTAAACATCACTTACCACATTTGGATCATGTTTGTAATTACATTTCTGCAGCAGCATAATGTTAATTGAGATGTGCCATCTCCCATCTCCCATCTCTGGGGTGTTCATGTTAACAACAGGATTCCTGCCAACCTCCCACAATGATGACAGCATTTATCGACAAAATTACACACAATACAATCCAGTTGGAACCACCATGCAGCTGAATAATACTAGAAAAAAATAGCCTTAGTCTAATGACATAGTTTATTTCTGAATTATGAGGCAAAGTTGCTACCATGCTTTTTCCTCATAAACTCAGATATTAAGAGATGATTAGGCCTATATATGAACTACACATTTGTTCATAATACCATAAATTCTCATCTGAAATGGCACATTATTTTTATAACCATCTCATTATAGCACAGACTGATGTGAATATCTGCTCCTTGTTAAACTACAATTATGACCACAAACAAAGATGCTGTTGCTTGCAGCGATACCAGTACAATTCTACATGACAAAAACTTCTGCCATCGATACTGAAAAGAAAATACACACATGATAACAGCAAAAGCAAACTGCTGTTTCCAGTACCTGTTCAAAAAACCCTGAACAACCTGACAGAAATTAGAGACAAACTGGCATCTCTCCACATGGTTCAAGTATAATAGATATGCACTGAAGCAGTACTTACAGCTAGAGAATATCAACGGGCAGGAATGTTCATCCATTGGGAAATTATGTAGCTGCAGCTGGCATTCTGCGTTGATGGTGAGCCTGTGTTAAAACCAGGTAATTGTCACTATATATCAACCCAACAAAAAGTTGAAGGAACAGGTTAGAGTGATCTTTGGTAATTGGCCAACACACAACCGAGAACTTTTGAAGCACAGCCACAGAATTAAGGTAGGTGTGTGTATATGTGCGTGTGAACACACACACACTCCCCCCAGATTGTGCTTTTAAAATCCCACTTCAGAGATCTTTAAAATCCCACCACAAGATCTTTTAAAACACATTTAACAAAGATATGTCCAACTTCAACAGACCAGCACAAATGTTTGCAAAAAACCCCTGTCGCATTTTAAAGCTTTGTTTGAAATGGTTTATTAACATAGGACACACTACAAATAAGGCCAAATTTTAAATTACTATTAAGACAGAGGTTTGAGTCCATGCAACAACAAAGTCTGTCTATATATTTAAGTGGATCATATATTTTTTTTGGAAGCTATTTTCAAATAATGAACCATGCATTAACTTCACTCCCGAAATTCTCCCAGCAAATAGTAAGTTTTAGGAAAACTAATTAAAAGGCAAACAAACAAAGTAGATTTGAGAAGTTCTGGATGCTTATAAATTTAGACTGACAGCCAGAAAAAAGGCTATAGAAGCTCAGTTGTAAGCAAATTAGTTCTGCTCAGGCGTTTCAATTGTACAGCAGGACAAGACTCCAAGGCTGTATGCCCTAAAGTGGCCAGAGGAGAGAAGGAAGAGAAAATGGAACTGGCACAAACTTGTACACTTTCTCTTGAATTTAGAACTTTAGTTATCTCAAGGCTGTTCTTTCTGAGGCATCTGCAGTGAGGAAATTGGTGATGCTGCAATTGCCTCTTAAATACAGTTTTGTAGACTCAATAGGCTGCGATAATGAAGGCTGCCTATTTGTTGCTGAGTTGTATGTCCTAGGTGGTGAATATTAAGGTTTATAGAGTTCCTCCTACCTAGAGGAAAGTCTGAGGGGTAAAACTGGAATCAGAGCTCCTTCTGTATATTTAAAATGCTCAGTCAAGCAAAGAAGGGCTGTAATAAGCTCAGCAGGCTCCAGAATCCCATGGCCTGAGGTGGTGCAGCAGCATGTGCCCGTCAATCTTTCCTCTCTTCAAGGCCCCCAGTGAAACTCCACACAGATCAGTTTCAGGGGCCCTTCTGGCAGGGGTTTATTTATTTTCCAAAGCCAGTGAACCAAAATGGCAATAAAATGAGGCAATTACTCTGCTAGCCTCAGTCTCTGCCCTCACAGGTATCTTCTCCTCTCTTTGGCAATCCCAAAAGTCCCTGCCTTTCCTGCAACTCTGTCATCTGCCCTAGCTGCAGCTCAGCTTTCTAGCTCAGGCCCTAACTCTTTCAATCAGGTTCTCTTACAGGAGGCTGCAGCTTACTCCAGTTCTTCTGCACCACAGATTCCTCTGCCTGTCATCTGCTATCCTCAGTGTCTTTATAGACACCAGCTGCCCCTTATCAGGCCCCATTGAAAGGCCATTTATAAGGGTGGACTGGACCAGTTCTCTCATCCTAAACTCAAAACTCCAGTCATCTGAAGAAGTGGGCTGTGCCCACGAAAGCTCATGATACCAGCTACATGTTTTGTTAGTCTATAAAGTGCTACCAGATCATTTGGTTTTTTTAAGTTTAAAAAGTCCAGTCCACCCTTTGACAAAAGCCAAAGGTTTTCTTATTTCCAGTGTATGTTAAGATGTTTTTTCAGTTCCTGAGATGGATGGTGTTCTCAGTAACACTTACAAAACTCTATTACATCAGTGCGGTTTCATAGGGGTCTATAACTGTGCACAATTTGGCAAATATGGGCCAGATAAAAAGGAGGATACATTCAAAAACTAACCAAATGAGCATCTTCTCTCATTCATCAAGGTCCTCTTTGAAAGCCCACTGAAGTGACTGAGATACTTTCCATGTACAAAAGTGAGCTTTAGATCACACCTCAAAAGAGGAGGATCCCAAAAAAAACCTCATGTAGGGTACATCTACTTAGCAGTTAAGCACCTGCCACTGGCCCAGCTCGGTTGAATCGAGCTCATGGTGCTCAAGCTATACAATTGCTGTGTAGACAGTCAGTCTCTGGCTGGAGAATACAGTGAGGGAGAGCCCTCCTTTAGTCCAATCCCGAAATCTACCCAGCAATTTTTAGCTCCGCAGCCAGAGCCCAAGTCAGCTGAGCTGGGCCAGCCATAGTGGTACTGAAGGACTTTTATTCTAGTGTACACACACTTTTAGTGGCAGTTTCCAGCTGTCAAATCCCTTTCTTGTTTGACAGTAAGTAAATAGGAACACTTGTCATTGAAGCTCAACTTCCATATACAGTACAAATATCAATAGCGTGATGATGGACTGAGGAGGATGAATACAATCAGTGCCTCAACTGTGTAGCATGGAAGATATATTTTACAAATAGATTGCTTGCTGTATAGAAAATCTTGTTCATTGTGGAATTCCACTTTTGAGTAGTGCAACACCTCCACTGAATAAAAGCAGATGTCTTTATTAAAATGCAGCCTTTTAATGCAAATGTATACTTTATGATAGTCTTGCCGAGATAAGCTCTAACATTTCTTCCTATCATTCACCTTTTTAGCAAAACATTTCATGACTTGTATATAGAATTTGACATTGATGCTAAACATTACACACCTAAACATTAGCATACTAATTGAGGAAGAATATCTAAATATGTAGTTTGCATCCTTTTTTCTTCTTCTGTAGAACTCAAAGCTTCTGTAGAACTCAAAGCATTTTCACAAATTGGTAGAATAAGGCATAGAGTAGTTAACTGAATTGCGCAAGGGCACAGAGTAAGTAAATGGCACAGATAGGAATAAAATCCAGTGTCAAATCCTGGTGTAATTAAGTGCTCCAAGAAGCAGATTAATCTTTCCCCAGAGGCTCTGTTTGGTTTATATACACCTCTAGGCATAGAAGTAAGTCCAATCTGAGCTAATCTGCCCTCTGAAGTGGAGCTGGCTGGGAAAAATGTCAACATCCCTGCAAAAATTTTCAACCAAATAGATTATGTTTCTTTGTATTTGCAGAAGTTTTTCTTGGACTTTGGGGGGTTGGGAAAGGAATCTAGAAATCTAAAACTTAAAATGTTCAGTCTACTTGGAACAGCAACCCAAACTCTGTAGGTGCTTTTTTACTGAAAACACACACACAAAAAAATGACAAAAAACATGGTTCATGTAAACTTCTCTTTTGTCAAAAAAGAATACATTTTTCATCAAAAATATTTAGATTTTTCCCCCAGCTCTATCAAAATCCAAGTCAGGAAGCTTTATAGGAACCAATTCTCATGCAAGATATCTGGGACTGCATGCTTGTAGATAAATTACAAACATGGAGAGAGGGATTTGGTCACTTCAGCTTTTGGTTCCTGAATACGAAAGAGAAAAAAGGCACAAAGTGAAGTTTTAAAAAAATAAGCAAGTTTTTAAAACCAAAAAAATTATTTATCTTGAGGATTATTTTGAATTTTGACAAATATTTATGGCATTTCTTTTAAACCACATCAATTTATCTATCCTTTAAACATATTCCGATATAAATTAGGAAGCATGTAGAAAACAAAATATCTAAAAATACTTTGCAGAAAAAGAGACCAAATATTTTTAGCTACAGTCTTCCTTCCTACCTTAAGGTGTACAAAATTTTCCCATCATTCCATATTCTCAGAAGCTGATTGGGTGTAGTGATCCAGTGAGCTTCTGCTGTTTTAGAGTTTCGGAAGATAGTGTCTGGTATCCATATCAATCCAACCATATTACTGTTTAGAGTCAGTATTTTCATGGTGCTGTTGAAACGAAGACGACTGTCTGTCCATGTCTGAGCAAAAAATATATCTATTTGGTATTCCTGTAATTAAAGCACAACATACAAATTGAAGTCAGTTCCACATATTCCACTTATATTTGGTCTTTGATGGGATATAGTTAAACAGCTGTATCATCAATCAATGTAACTCAGGATAGTTCTAGTAAAATCAGTGGGTCTGTGTTGATTTACACAAACTAAGGATCTGGTCTTCGGAAGTTTTTTTTCTTTGTTTTCATTCTCAATTATTTTGCTTTAGGAAAAAATAAAAACAACGTGATCAGCATTGCCCTCTGTGGTGGAGCAAAGCTTGCTAAGCCAAAAGGTCAAAGAGGTCAATTGCTTAGGGGCATGAGTCATTTAAAATGGTTCCTGGGCCCCTGACTGCTACCTCTGCCACAGTGCACTGGGGCTAAGGCAGGTCTGCCCTCACACTGCACTGCTCCTGGAAGTATCTGGCATGTCCCTTTGGCCCCAGAGGAGTAAGGGGCAGGGAATTTCTATGTGCTGCTCCTGCCCCAAGCATCGACTCTGCAACTCTCATTGGCCAGGAACTGTGGGAAATGGAGGCTGTCGGGCTGGTGCCTGTGGGTGGTGATGCATGGAGATCTCATCAACCCCTGCCTAGAGAGTTGCACCAGTCACTCTCAGAAGCCGCCCAAGGTAAACACAACTCCCTTCATTCTCTCCTACATTCCAGTCCCCTGCCTAGCCCAGATCCTGCCCCCCAACTCCCTCTCAGAACCTGCACCCACAGCCTCTCCCATCTCCCAATCCCCTGCCCAGCCTAGAGCTAGCACCCTGCACCCAAACTCTCTCCCAGACTGACCCCTCCCACATTAAAACTTCCTCCCAGAGTCTGTACCTCAAACCCCTTCCCATACTCCAAGCCCTTGCCCTAGCCTGGTGAAAGTGAGTAAGGATGGGGATGAGTGACTACCAGAGGGAGGAGTGAGTGGGGCAAGGCCTGTAAGAAGGGGAAGGACAAAAGCATGTTCTCAGGGACGGAATAATGGAAGAGTTGTGTGATTAGTCAGTTGGCAAGCCTAGTGGGCAGACACCTGAAAGCCCTGGCCTGCCAGAAAAGCATGCTGAGAATCACATTTGGACGCTCACTGTGCACCTGCCAGCACAGGTGCAATCCCAGCCAGATGTTAGGTGGACAATGTCCACACGGGCACAAAGTGTGTGCACCTGGGGGGCCCTTTAACTGTTCTCTTCTGGGGCCTGGAATTGCTGTCAGCATTTACCCAGCATCTTGATCATCCTTTTGCTTGCAAAGTCATTCTCATGCCTGGACAATATATCTGCCTCTGTGTGAAAACAGAGTCTTTAAGGAGCTGCTAATGAAATGGAGGTTTGAGATTCAGGTAGCATTAGACAAATATGACTAGTGCTGAAATAAGTCAGCTGAAGAATGATAAATTGTACCAAACATGGTACACATGCAGAGACTCACACAGTGTTCTGTTTCTAAACAGTTGCATGAATAGTCAGAAAGATACTGGAATTATAGATACTCATTTTTCTTTATAGACACCTCTTGTATTTCAAATGCCAAGAGCCAGAACTCTTCTGAGGCTACTATTAATACGCTAATATGATGGTCCCAATGCTACAGTCTTAAACTTTTATATAGTTACATTGTTATTGCCATGTTTCTGTTACTATGTAGTCATTATAAGGTGATAAAGTCGAAGTTAAACACACACACACACGAAAGAATGTGTATATATTATTACATACCAAAAAAAAAAATCACTTTGTTAACAGATATTTAAGTTTCAAAATCCAGTGCTTAAAATACCAGTCTCACATCTGCCTATGGGATCTTCATTCTGCATCCTGGTGCATCCAATCTATACACTGAATGATGGGGTGGGGGAATGGGAGTCTTGCGGGAAATCACGATTATACTGTATCATTAAACACTTTATCATAATGCATAAACATAAAGAGGGCAGAATTAAGGTGTCTTGGCCAATCTGGCATTTCCTTGCTTGAGTCTTTGTCTAGCCTTATTTTCATTTAATATAGTTTTTCCATTAAGTTGCCTGGTTTTTTTCTTAGAAGAAAAAACATACAAATTCCATTATGCACACCAGTAACAATTTATCCATTGTATGTTATTAGCAGGGTTTGTGCCATTAATTTATCCTAGTGTTCTAACTGTATTCTGAGAGCTCTCTGGTTATACTGTGTTATTTCTATAACTAACTTCTTTTGCAGGGCTTCCTTCAAAATTAATGTTATAACACCAGAAAGCCCTATTCATTGACACTATTATCTGAGAAACACTCCCTGGGACTCACGCCTTTACTTGATGAATAACTGATGGAAATGTAAGAATTCTTAGCATGTATAGGAATAACAGGTAATATATCACCTTACGATTTGCAGCATAACTACTAAGAGTTCCTAGAACCTTTCCTTTTAACGTTCCTAGCAGGGATTTTTATTTCTGATTAGCTTTATTTTCAAGGGTAGGACTAGAAATTTGAAGCTGAAGGGAACTTATTTTCATCTTGGTGTGCAGGGAATTGTGCATCTCTTTTGACAAGAAAATCTAACAAAGTATCTAGCTCTTACTTGATAGTTATTTCTATTTTTAAACACAGGGGAAGTATTCAGAAATTACAGGAATGGGGAAAATGGTCATAAAATGACCCATCTACATATTTTTAAATATCTTCAGAAATCATTGTTTTCCTACTGAGCCACTATTGCAGAGAGTGGATTATCCAAATTATGTTCTAATATTTTCTTGGTCTCTGCCAACTCCTCATTGCAACATCCTAGAAATGAAAAGCTTATATATATTCACCAAATACAGAATCGATTGTGCTAGACATGGTCACATGTCTAGCAGCTTTCCCTAACTGCTGAGCTTGTGGAACTCTAGTATGCAAGTAGAAACCAGTACTTACTGAGCCAAAGTTATGAGGTCATATTTATATATCTGGCTGATGAGTATGGTATATTTATACACAACAATGGACTGAGCAAATATATTCATATTTGAAGTTATTTTAAGGAAAAGAATGCTTCTTTTGATTGCCAAATTATTTCTAAATTTAGGATCAGCTGTAATTCTCTTTTGGTTTATTGTGCACATTTAGGATTTTGCTTATTCAAAAAGGGAAGATAGTCCTGAATTTTAAAATTTTATTCATGTTAAAATTCGACACTCTCCAAAAAGGAATGAACAAACACTTGAACTATCTCACCCATTACCAAGATAGCTTCCCCAATTATCACCTCTAATACCATTAACTCACAAACATCCCACTCTCCCCACCTCTAATATCATCAATTCACAGACACTTACCTTCCTTCCTTCCCCCCACCCCTGCATCCCCCTCCTGTTCTGAAATGTGATTTGTCCTTTTCATATGTGTTCATTTTTTTAATTGTATCCTTTGGTATATATGGTTGTGACTATTTTCTTCCACTATTTGATCTGAGGAAGTGGGTCTGGCCCACAAAAGCTCATCATCTAATAAACCATCTTGTTAGTCTTTAAAGTGCTACATTGTCCTGCATTTTGCTGGAATTACCTCATTCTTCAACCAAATAGTGAATGGGGTTTGGTAGTTAGCTTATTTTGTTTTTGAGCAAGAGACAAAGGTCAATTTTAAAAGCTGGGTGTAAGAACTTAGGCTCCTTGGACCAGATCCTGAAAAGGTATTTATTTGCATAACTCTTGTTGAGTCCAGTGGGAGTCAGACACCTACGTGCCTTTGGTGATCTGGACCCTAAATTTTAATTTATATGCATCTACATGGAAGTGACTTGATTTTCTTAGACACTAAGGGTGTTTCTCCTAGCAGTCAATGGATAGCATTCATTGCAGGATGGAGGGATGTGAAATGGCCATTTAAACTCCACTTAGAGATTGTGCAAAGAGTCTAAAGAGTGTGCACCTGCAGGTGATACTTACCTTTCCATTCAATTATATAAGAAGGGCTTCCATGCTAGCCTGCCTCACATAGAGGTAAATATTTGTACCACAATGCATGAAAAGACAAGGATCATTTTCAATTCACTGGTTTTACCTTTTAGAGGAATGTCAATTATTTTATAGAAGATAATACTAGCATTTATGATATTTAGGCAAGACGTAATCTTTGTAGTAAGTTCTGTGTATAATCTTCTGCCAAGAAAATACTAATAGGAGCAAGGGGTGTGTGTGTGTGTATGTGTGTGTGTGTGTGTGGTTTTGTGTTTCTGCTAACTCAGAGGAATACTTGATGAATGAAGAAATCAGAAAACAGAGAAACCAATCTCATCAGTTACGGCTAGAGACACATCAATTTTCTGAGCACATATTTGAGATGTCACCTACGTAAATACAATTTTGCCTGTTCATGGGAATAAATAAATTTAGAAATTCTATATAATAAGCCAGCTCCTAATTACTTATTTCTGAAATAAAAAAGTAGTGTGTACCCCTTGGCTTGAGAGACATTGTGTACAAAGAATGGGAGGAGTAGAGAAGCAGGCCCAGGTCTTCATCAGTATTTATGGGAGTCTAAATATTTTTGAGAATCTGGACCATAGATATCATTGTAGTGGGTTGACTAATGTGTCTTAACTTAGCTATGATGGGACCATGACAATAAAAGGATGGGTTGTTGTGGAAAGAGAAGATGAAGAGAGTGAGGGATTGACACCTTTGGGTACTGGATGATCTAATGTGAGAGAATGAATTATTTAGAAGTATTTTGTGGGCATGTGGATTGGAAAAAGAAATTGCACATTTAGCTTATTTTCAAACCATACCAACTATCTCTTTGTTTCCTCATTCCTGAAGAAGACATGGAGAAAAACTCTTAAAAATAGTTCATATTATTAATGTCCTTATTCCCCAAAAGAGTAAATCCAAGATCACCAATCTTAATTTGCAATGCTTGGGTTTGCTCATAATTTCATTGAAACATCTAGAAAGACGATATGAGAGATCTTTTGCCAAACATATAGGAAAAAGGGGTCATGGCAAAACACTAAAAAAAGTCCAACAAGAGAATTGTTACAGCTAGTCA